CTCCGCCGTCCTGATGGTGTTTCTGCGATAGACAAAGGGATCCCGTTTCTTTCCCTGTTTTCTGGTGGCTTTCGACAGTAGCAAACTTGACCTGGCTGGAGAATGACTGGCCATGCAATTCAATAATAAGATCTGCGTGGCCATGGTGGCCAACGATGCACACTTTTTCAAGCTTTTGAAAGTGGCCAGGCACAAAATCAGCGACTTCTTTGTTCCTGTTCAAGAGGGAAAGTTGGCATCCCAAAACATGGTGAACAAGAAACCCACTACATTTGAGTCACTGGAAAGGCGAATTCGAGGCTTGAACAAGGAGAATTGAGTCAACTAGTCAATTGAAAAACTACGATATCCAAGTTCGAAGTCCTGAATCCGTTGCCTGAAATGCCCTAAGAATCGCCAGCGAGGTTGTCGGAAACGTCATGAGCACGTCGTGTACGCCAAACTTGAGCATCTCCTGCCTGATCAATCCCTTTGGCGTTTTCCTCTCCAACACCCAGCCACCCGCGCCAAAATCCTTTCTCGAAAGGCGTTTGTCGTGCTCCAACTCCTCGTGCCCGATGCCTGTAGAAGTGGTCGCGTTGACCGCATGCCAAAAAAGCATGTCAGAGTGCGCACAGCCCACGACAGGATCATCTTCCGCGTGGATAAACGTAATGTGATAGTTGTGGACATTTTCGTTGCTTTCGTAAGTCCACACAAGCTCAGCGATGCGGCCCTTGGTCATCCAGGTGCTGGTGAGGAAGGAGGTGAAGAACGTCAGCAGCGGAGGAAAACGTGCCAACGGCGAGAGCACGGGAACGACGCCTCCAATGCGATATGTACCAGTCAAAGTGGCCACATCAGAGAAAGGCGCGACGAGGATGATGCCAGCGAACGTCACGGACGGCGTGTGTAGTGCAAAATGCCGCGATACTGACACGGCGACGGCAGTACCCAAAGACTGTCCGAAGATGACGATCCGTGAAGGTGAAATGCCGGCTTCTTTCGTGGCCTAGTTGACGAGGGCGATAGCGTCAAGTAAGAGACCTTCCTCGGAAGGCGTACCAGAGCTGCGTCCGTAACCCCGGTAATCGGCAGTCAAGACGTGGATCTTTTCAGGGGCAGCGGCAGAGAGCGTGCGGTAGCTGTCTGGCCGCCACCCGGAAGCGATGCAGCCAGCAGTACCGTGAAAGTAAATCACAAGTCGAGCTTCTGGGTCATCCCGCAGAAGCTTGAATGCGAGATCCGGTTCAGGTTCTTGAGCAACCAGGTTGTCTTGATTTTGGCGATATGACCCAAGAGGCAATACATGCCAGGCATGGAGGCTCTCCCCATCTGACGTTGGAAGTGAAAAGGATGTGACTTGGCCTGGAAGGAAACCAAAAGCCTCTGGAACATTGACGTCCTTGAACCAAGTGAGGGTTACTCGATGAAGGTAGAAGACATGGGTCTGAAAGGTCGGAAAGGCGATCAGCAAGCTGAGAATACCAAAGTAGGCGGGTACTAATATCAGGAGGGGCTTTGTCGCAAGTCTTAGTATCGACATGGTTTTAATGAATGATTGATGCTCGGAAGATGGGGGTTTTGTGGCGCGGCAGGCCTGTCGACATAACCCTGGTCATAGCTTCTCAGAAGTGGGTCTTGTGAATATTCAGGACTTGGGATTCGATTTTTCGACGTTTTTGGTACATTTTCTTGCCAGGAATCTTTCAAGACCAATGTCTGGAGGGCATTCGACTTTTCGGAGGAGTACTTGAGCCGTAGACTCGGGCCTGCTACCTCAACAACAGCAGAGTATGACCTCGTTGTATTGAGCCAACTTAAAGATCAGATGAGACTCTCCTTGTCGCATCGAGGCGAATTTGCGTGGCATTCCGCTTTGAAAATTTGGCCATTTTACCTGTGGCAGTCGAATATATCAAAGACGGGCACCTGTTGTGCCATGTTTACCCCTAAATCTCTCCCCTTCCGAAACGGAAACTACTGCTCTTCCCCAAACATTTCTCTCACCGATATCTAATAGAGCTCGCGGCACCATCTCCAAACCTCTGTAGAATTGTTTGTAAACCACGGGCTGGATCTTGTTTTGTGAAATCAATGTCATAGTTTCCTTCCATATGGCGGCAGTTGCGGCAGGGTTGCGGCGAGACTGTTCTCCAAAACGCTGCAAATGAAGACGGAAACCGTTAGGACGAGTGGGAAGAGAAGCCAAGTCGGGGCACTTACATATCCAATCACATTTGCGCCCTTCAGCAAGACCTTGTTCATGCTCACTCTCTCCATAACACCACCCCTCGCTGCGAAACCAACCACCAAGATCTTTCCGCCATATTTCAAATATTTCAATCCATCTTCGACAGCTCCGATCGGATCGAAAATCACATCCACACCTTTACCTCCCGTTAACTCCAATGCTCTTGCTTGCCACTGTTCCTGTCGATAATCTACCACGCTCGCTCCCAAGCTCTTGACGACAGCCTCCTTCTCTGCGCCAGCTGCAACACCAATAACAGTGGTCGCTCCTAGCGCTTTTGCGACTTGAACAGCGGCAACGCCCAAGCCGCCGCTTGCTCCCAGCACCAAAACACTCTGCCCTGCACTTACATTCGCACAGCCTTCTCCCAACGCTCCGTACGCAACAGCAGCGCTCCCACCAACTGCGCACGCCTCGGCATTGGTCCATCGCTCTGGCACAGATCTGACCTGCTTTTCATCGAGACACGTTTCCTCGGCAAAGCTTCCAAGACCAAACCCAAAAACGCGAGTGCCGGGGCGAAATGATGAGTTGGAGGAAGCGTGCAACACTACGCCGGCGAACTCAGTACCCAGGATGAAGGGCGGTTTGACGTGACGACGATTGTTCTGGTGGCGGCCTTGGGCGTAGAGAAGATCCACGTGCGTAATGGCGGCATGAGTGACGCGGATGCGCAACTGGTTAGCACCGCATTTGGGCGGCGGAACAGCGGAGACGCTCAGGTCGGAAAGGCTCTGGACGTTCACTTAGCGCGCTGCCGGTGCTGGATTCAAGTGAGCTTACATTGACCCACTGATCTATAAAGATTGCTTTCATTGCGGCAGCATTGTAAAGTGTGTGGAAGGTTTGATGGGTCGCTTGCGAAAACAATCTGGGGAGCGGGAGATCGACAGCGGGGCGGGATAGCCGAGGCTCTGGTTCCCAGGCTTGATGAATGCAACTTGTGGCCAACGCGGAGCCAGGAGTGTTTTTGCATGAAATTATCCGCGAGCCTGAGATGACGACAATGAGGAGAAATTGGGTAATGAATCATGCCACATCTAGGTGAAGGTCGTGCTGTGCATTGGAAGCATTGAGGCCCAGTGGTTAACTGGAGACCAGAACATTCAGGGGTTGACAGTGACAGAGATCTGGTTCGTGGAATGACAAGGGAGACCCTTGAGATCCCTTGCTTGGAACTGCCCTGCAGCGTTCCCCTAAGGGTGTGTCCATCTTGGCGACGAATCAAATCCCGCCCCTGAAATACAATCCTGGGAGACAATGAGCATTCAATGATTTGAGCTGCAGATCACCAAAGACTCTTCAACATGCCCAACCGCCATCAATCGAGTACGTGGCTCCAGTGATAAAAGCAGCCTCATCGCTGAGCAGATAGGCAATCAGGCTTGCAACCTCTTGAGGCGTCCCAATGCGCTTGATGGGCGTTTGGATCTCGTTCTTGTGCTCCTCCAGAACCATTCTGGTGTCAATAGCGCCTCTGATCGCCGTCAGTACATAGATTAATGGATGGAATCAATTGGATTTGACATACGGTGCGACGGCGTTGACGCGAACATTCCTTGCGCCATTTTCTTTGGCTGCACTTCTCACCAATCCAATAACGCCATGCTTCGCTGCAGAGTAGGCAGCTGAAGTCGGAAATCCGAGTCGACCTTGAACGCTGGAGATGCAAACAATGCTCCCGCCGTCCTTGATGTTTCGCAGTTCTGCGCGGAGAGAATAGAAAGTTCCCTGTACGTTGTCAGTAAAAGCCACGCGCACCAAATCGAAAACGAAAAACGAACTGAAAGATTGGTGTGAAGAAGGGTATCCCATCTCTCATCCGAAGTGTCTTCGATTGTTGGCGCACCGGACTCGGAACAATTCCTTCCTGCAGAGTTGACGGCGGCATCCAGTTTCCCGGCCCACTGAACGGTGTTGTTGATCCAGTCGTCCACGTTTTCTCGGTTGGTGATATCCAACCTTTGGAAAAATACATTCTCTCCTTTGCCAATTGACTTGAAAAATTCCTCGGTCTTCTCGAGCTCGACTCCGTCGATATCACCGATTGATACTCTGGCTCCACGCGAGACCAGCGTCTTGGCAGTCTCGAAGCCAATTCCTTGAGCACCACCAGTAATCGCAACGACTTTTCCCTCCATTGTGCAATTTTGGACCTTCTGAGGTTATCGCCAGAAAGATTGATGGGTGAGTTGGCAAAGGGAGAACAAACGCCTTCTCTGTTGCCAACACCCCTGCAACCCCGCACTCCTGGAAATTGAGTTCCATGAAGGTGGAGCCTATACTACAGGCTGCCAGGACCATTTCGATACGGGACAAACAACCATTCAATCACTATGGCGGCTGAAAAATCAAAAGGCTAAATGTTGCCACGTGGGTGTGTCGGACGCTGCCATGAAAGCGGCGTAGGATTGATTCCCCACCTCCGGAAAAATGACTTTGGAGCATCCCGCACTTTTCTGCATTGTGGGTGGTGATATAAATATGCAGAATATCGGTGCTGCATCATACAGCTGAAGTGTTCGGGTTGGTGGTGTAGTGGAAACATACGCCGTGGCTACAGTCACGCCCATGGCGAGACCTAGGTTCAAGTCCTAGCCAACTTGCTGTTCTTTTTGCCCGACTCCTTTCTTGCATTGAAAAAGATAGTGGTAGCGAGTCCCAAGAAAGGAAAGGTCAGGGGCACTGGCCAGCGCGAGACTTGCTTCGCGATATGGTTGGAACGCCCAGACTTCGTGAGTAAAGTGTTGGCTCCTACAGTCGTACTAGGTCGGTGGTGTAGTGGTAACGCGTGCCGTGGCTACAGTCGCACCCGAGGTGAGTCCCAGGTTCAAATCCTAGCCAACTTGCTCATCTTTTTTGCCCGGTATATTTCTGATTCCAAGACCAAGAGTGGTACCGAGTCTTGGAAAAGGCAAGGTCAGTGGCACTGGCCAACGTGAGATCTAGTTTGCATGGGCTTACCCTTTGCGCCTGGCTTCTTGATTGAGGGTTTATAAAGAAGAAACCCAGTTCCTGTGGTAGACAGTGGGTTGGTGGTGTACTGGAAACATGTGTCCGCGGCATCGGTCGTTTCCGCGGGCAAGACCCAGGTTCGAGTCCTGGCCAACTTGTGCTCCTTTTTGCCCAAATTCTTTTTAAATCTCACGGCCAAGGGGTGGTACCGAGGATTGAGAAAGGTAGGTTCGGGGCCCCAGCAAACTTGGCCTTTGCGCGTCTCTTCGTTGGAAGTCTGCAAAATTTGCAAAACGGTGGCTTGGAAGGCGTCAAATACTGCCTTCGAACTGCAGAGAGAGTCGATTTAGCCGGGAGCGAAAGCCGCATGAGCAAATACCGTGGCACTAGTCGTGTCCACGGTGGGAACCAAGTGCAGCCGAACTTTATGCTTCTTTTGATCGAACTCGCTGCTTTGTAGGATCAATGCTGGCTACTGACCGAATGACCATCTCATTTTGCGTGTCCACTTTGGAGTCTCGATCCGTCTCCTTTGATTTTTTGATATATAACGAGTTGCAATCGCTCCCTGGTATACATACATCTACGAGTCACCGAAAAAAGATTGGTGGTGTAGTGGTAACATGTGTCGCGGCTACAGTCGCTCCCGCGGCAAGTCCCAGGTTCAATTCCTGGCCAATCTGTCGACTTTAAACGTTTTGAGGGCCTTTCTTTTTGGCTGCTGGCGGTATCTTGAAGTGTGGTAGCGAAGCACGTTCCCCGGTACGACCGTGCACGCTGGCGGTGATCCGAAAACTGCTGAAGAGGGAGTTTACATACACCAACGGAAGCGTACGAAGACTAGGAGATAGCGATGGAGAGAAGGTGAACATGTGGCTGTCTTCATCTCCAGAATTCTTGCGCCGGGACCGTTCGCTGTCAGGGATCTGCGTTAGGCGGCGACGAAAAGCGCCAATGGCCGTCGGAGCATTGATGGGGAGAGACAGAAGGCGGCATGCATGCGATTACGTGTGGGCAACGAAGGCCTTCCAGGCACAATCGACAGCTGGACATTTACAGGTGCCTTCTGTATTTGTTTCGGGTCAGCTCTCGGCATTTCCGAAAGCGGACAGAAAGCGCTCATGAACACCGATATTCCCAGTGCTTCCCGAAGAATGGAGTAGCGTATAGAGACGTGTGGCGGAGCGGGCCGCGACGGTACGGATGTAATTTTGGGCTGCAATCTTTGATTGCCCAGCGGCCAACGATGACCGCAGTAACCATCAGGGCCAAGACTCAGACTCTAGGGAAGCGGAAGCAATGTCCATTTGAGGCAGTACTCCTTCAACCCATGGAAAGAAATGAGTTCAAGCAGCGATTTACTGTCCACAGACAGATATCGCGGTCGCGCTTGCTTGTCTGCAGCTTCTATTGTTGCGGCCTCGAGACAGCGAGACTGTTTCATGAGTGGAACCACGCAGATGCTACTGTGGCCATCATAGATAGCTTCAGGGCACTGGAATGTTTAAGAATACTTTCGCTTCTTGGTGATGGAGCATCAGTTAACACTCCAGGCCACTGGTTTGTTGTCCTGGCGTAATGTGAATGGTGTTGGCCCTCAGCGACTTCGCGTCATGTTCGCTCCCTGGTCGGGATCCCTCTAGAGATGAGATGAAGAATTTCCAACATCTCGAAAGAAAATCGGCTGCGGAGCATGCCAGGGCATTTCGGTTGATACTGTCGTCCTATGTGAAATGCCTTTCTGCATAGATGCGAGTGTCGAGATGATCGTGTCGCAGTGACGAACAGATGAGGTCGGCTGGTCAAGAGTGACAAGCGAGCTGATCCCGGACTCAGATCAGCGCCATGCCGCTTCGAGAAGCATGTCGGGCCGTAAACCGGTGATAAGCGACCATCTTCAGCTCTTGCGCCCTGCGACAAGGCCTAGGCCCTTGCATACAAAGACTCCGCGTCGGCCGCGTCCATCTCACTTACAAGTATCTAGCGTCGCACCTCATTCCTCACTTGTCTTGCATCCCGCAGCTCCAGCATCGTTCCGTCGAATCCAATTGCTACACCAAAACCGCCATGGCCCCCCACCACGTCGAGGTTGAAGCTATTACCGGTACTACGGGCGTGCCGCTGCCGGACCCGCTGACGGCTCCCATGCCCATCAACGACATTCGGGGCCGCCGCAAGAAGGCTGAGAAGTCGGCCTGGGGCGTCGCGGCCCCTGCCAACAGCGAGCGCTTCAAGAGCTACTCGCACAGTCACAAGCCCAAGGCAAAGAGGTGGGGTCGTAAGTCTGTTTTGCGCCACGCCTCTCAATTGCTCCCTCACGTATCAATTGAGCGGGCATTGCGTGATATGGATGCTAACGTGCGCAATTGGCGTGGATAGACTACATTAGCAACGAGTCCAAGTCGCGAAAGGGCAACTCGCTCAAGAATGCCGCCAAATACCTGGGCAAGCCCGGTCTGATTTCTCTCGGAGGAGGTCTGCCGTCGTCCGAGTATTTCCCATTCGACAGCCTCGATTTGACCATGCCGTCCGTGGGCAAGTTCAGCGAGCAGGAGACCAAGGAGGAGGGCGTCAAGGTCCACGTAGGCAAGCATGATTTGGCCGAGGACAAGAGCATCTTCGATATCGCCACAGCTTTCAACTACGGCCAGGGCCACGGCGCGGCGCAATTGCTGCGCTGGGTCACTGAGCACACTGAGCTCATCCACGACCCTCCCTACGCTGATTGGGCGTGCCACATGACCATTGGCAGCACCTCTGCTCTGGAAATGTCGCTGCGCATCTTCACTCAGCCGCACGACTACATCCTGTCCGAGGACTACACATTCGCAACGGCAATCGAGACAGCAGCACCGATGGGTGTCAAGGTCGCTGGTGTCAAGATGGACGACCAAGGTCTGCTGCCCGAGAGCCTCGATGACGTGCTCACAAACTGGGACTCTGCTGCCAGAGGTGGCGCTCGCAAGCCGTTCGTGCTGTACACTGTGCCCTCCGGTCAGAACCCCACTGGCGCCACGCAGGGCGCGGAGCGCCGGCGGGAGATCTACAAGGTGGCGCAACAGCACGACCTCTACATCTTCGAGGACGAGCCGTACTACTTCTTGCAAATGGAGCCCTATGGCGGCCCGGACGCCGCCACGCCGGAGCCGCCAGCCTCACACGCCAAATTCTTGAAGGAGCTCGTGCCCTCGCTGCTGAGCATGGACGTCGACGGCCGCGTCCTGCGCATGGACTCCTTCTCCAAGGTCGTGTCGCCGGGTAGCAGAGTTGGCTGGATCACGGGCGCCCAGCAGGTCGTCGAGCGGTACTCGAAGCACGCAGACGTGTCGACGCAGGGCCCGAGCGGCATGAGCCAGTTGATCCTGTTCAAGCTCCTCGACGAGCACTGGGGACACCCGGGATACATTGACTGGCTGATTCACATTCGCAAGGAGTACACGCACCGCCGCGACGTGATGCTCCGGGCCTGTGACCAGTTTCTGCCAGAGGATGTGGTGAGCTGGAAGCCGCCCATGGCAGGCATGTTCGTAAGTGGTCTTGGTCGAGTCTTGATCTAGGATTTTATTCACTAACAATGGCCAAGCACTGGCTCCAAATTGACTGGCGCAAGCACCCTCACGCGTCGACCAAATCGCTCACCGAGCTGGAGGATGAGATCTTCATGCTCATCATCGACCACGGCGCGCTCGTCATGAAGGGTAGCTGGTTCTACGCCGAGCCTGACGCCGCCCACGACACCATGTTCTTCCGCGCCACGTTCGCCGCGGCTCCGGCCGACAAAATCCAAGAGGCCATCCACCGCCTCGGTGACGCCATCAGGCAAAGCTTCAAGCTGAAGGACTGATGACTGAGATTATGATCTTTTATTTTTTTTGAAGAGAGTTGAGCGATGTACAGCATTTGAATGTCCATCCAATGAGTCATGAACTCTCGCCATGTTATTAACGCATGATTTCTTGGTCTAAGCGCTTGGGTACCCTCTGGAATGGATAAATTTAGTTGGCAAGCGTGTTATGTAGTATTGGAATTGGACTACTTTTTTGGGATACAAGGTCGTGACGTCGGAAGGAGAAGAAACAGGGACGGGGATATCTAGTTGATGAAGTTGACGCAGAAAAAGTGCAGAATCACGCTGCCAAAGATGTAATCTGCGAAGGCACTAAAAGCCCGTCAGCAAAAGTTGGTCTCCACCGGGGCTTTGGGCCAATATCCGATGATCCTTGTGGCTTCCTCCTAGAGTGACATACCGCTCGTGAGAGATGCTGCCAAAGTCTCCCTTGTTCTCTGGGTTGGTCTGGATACGCAAGCTCGCAGTGAGCACGAACTGGCCGACGGTGGCGGAGAAGCCGGAGAGGAAAGCGTTGAAGGGCTGTAAGAAGCAAGTTAGCCCACAAATCCACCTTGAAGATCCATCCCTCCACAATGCTGCCCATCCATCAATCCATTCATCCATCCACCCACCTCAACTCTACACTCCCTCTCTGCCACACGCACATCTCCACCCGAAAGCCAACGAAAAAGACTCCACTTACATAGGTGCCACCAATAACGCAGTAGACAAACTGCAGCGCGCCGACAACGACCAAAAACGCCATAAAGACATCGAGCAGCTTGGTGCGCTGGTCCGTCTTGGCCTGGTAGTTGCGCCACACGCCGGCGGCAATGGCCTGCGCGTCGTTGCCGTGGATCTTGGCCTGTCCAGAGCTCGCTGCCTTCCTCGATGCGGGAGAAGTAGCAGCGGCGGCATTGGAGCCCGCGGCGCTGGGGAAGCCCGACGTGGGTGCTGCGGCGGAGGGAGGCGCCGCGGCGGGACTCGTGGCTTGTTTGCGGGGCGGCATGGTCGAGGGACGACGAGACGAGAGGAGTGTGTTAGACGACGGATGGGGTGGCTGCGGATGTGGTGGTGTCGAATTGGTGCGCGCTCAATTGTCGTGGTGACTGCCGGCCGGCCAGGTGGGTAGGTTGGATTATTGAGGCCAGTTGGACGGAGACATCCAGGGAGCTCGGGCCAGGGGGATGCGCGGCGTCCGCCCACGGGGATGAGGTGTTCCGCTGGGCGGTGAGAGCCAGGCCAAGCATTCCGCCGCGGGCGGGGGACGGAGCCTGGGTCGTCGCGCGTCATAGAGCGAGCAAGCAAGCAAGCGAGTGGATCCGAGGC